TTTGAGTGAGTGTGTGCTTATTTGGTCCTTTGATCAATAATGTGACAGAGCGAGGATTGTTACATTTCTCAATAAAAGTGAATTTCTCTTCTCCCTATGTGAAGAAGGGAAAATACTTTCAAAAACAGGATATGGTTGTACAAAGAATGAAAAGAGTTGAGGGCTTATGGAAGAGTAAGTAGCATATTAATAAGGGAATAACACACCAATCACATTAAAGCAAATTACTTCACTTAAAAAAAAATCGCATATAAGTGATTTTTCCCATCAACGGCTTATCATTACTACACATAACCTTCAAAATGTATGTAAACAAAGCAAAAATCTGGTCCTAAGTTTGAATGAATTTTTACTACCGAAGAATTCATGACCTAAAAATCATTATTTATTATATTATCTTTGGAAAGAAAATACACTTACCAATGTATATTCATAGACAAGTCCTGCATATCCCAAACAATCAGGATTTAGGTCATCAAAGGAATTTAGAGCTACTCCACCACAAGCAAGAGTCAGCCTGAAATATTGAAGTGTGTTTTGGGAGATGTATATGCAGCTTTGTTATGTTTAAAGAAATTATTAATAACTTTTATGAAGCAATCTTTCAGAATTACATACTAAAATCCTAAAATGTTATTTTTTAAATAACCTTAAACCTTCCCATTCACCACCAACCAGCTAAAAACCAGTCTTTTCCCCTAACTCGACATTTAACCCACCCTTTTTTTTTTTTTTTTAAAGATTTTATTTATTTATTTATTTGACAGAGGGATAGAGAGATAGACAGCAAGAGAGGGAACACCAGCAGGGGGAGTGGGAGAGGAAAAAGCAGGCTCCCGGCTGAGCAGGGAGCCCGATATGGGGCTCGGTCCCAGGACCCTGGGATCATGACCTGAGCCGAAGGCAGACGCCTAACGACTGAGCCACCCAGGTGCCCTAACCCACTCTTTCAAAGTCAGCAAATACTACTCTGATAAGAAATCTAAAGATGCAAGAGCTCTTTATCATGGTGAGACCTGGGGAAAAAGTAGTTCTCTGAAACCCCTTGATGCTCTTTTGACATGGTTGGTAACGTACATATACATGTCATGGTTTAAAACTAAAGCATACACCAATGTTCACAGCAGCATTATTCACAACAGCCAAAAGGGAGAGACTTAAATGTCCACTGATAAATGGATAAACAAAAGGTGATATACATCCATACAATGGAATATTATTCATCGTTAACAAGGAATGACATTCATTCTAATATGTTACAACATGGATGAACTCTTGAAAACATTATGCTGAGTGAAATAAGCCAGACATAACAGGACAAATATTGCACGATTCCTTTATATGAGGTACCAAATTCATAGAGACAAAATAGAATAATAGTATTTACCAGGGGCAGGGGAAAGAAACAAAGTTACTGTTTAATGAGGAGAATTTCAGTTTGGGAAGATGAAGAAGTTCTGGACATGAATGATGATGGTTGCACAATAACGGGAATGTAACTTAATGCCACTAGATCGTACATTTGAAAAAATGAGTAAAATGGTAAATTTTGTATTATGTATATTTTACTCACAACAAAAAAGGAAAAACACAATTAGTAAGAACGGGGGGAAAAGAAGTAATCCCACTTAACTTGCAAAATAAGTAAAATTTACATCACTAAGGTAATATGCTACCCATACCTTTCCATATTTCTCCTTTTAGCTCTACGCAGAGCTACTATACCTTCTTTTGCAAGAGCATCTAAGGAAAAGGGATCAATTCCCTGTAACAAAAACAAAAGTTAATTACAAT